CAGTGGAGATTTGCCTCTTGTTTAAAGTCCCCGAGAAAAGCAGAGGCGCAGTCTCCCGCTGGCTGGTCCTCTGGCTTTTCACTCACAGTAAGCCCTCCCTTTTCTCTAACCTGAGTCCTTCATGTGGTGGGTTTGTTTCATTTCCTCTTTCTCTTCTATACAATCCATTCTAGGACTTCAAGTCAGTCAGTCATTCAGAATTTAAGAACTTCCTATGAATCAGATTGAAGATATGAAAGAGTCTGAGACATAATTCCTGCAGACATGTAGTCATAACACAGTGTCTGTCTGATGTGCAGTAATGGAGGTTAGTGCGGTGTGCTGGGGGACACACCTCTAATGTGATGCCTCCAAAGCAGAACTCTTGAGATTTGCCCCCTAAGCTGCTTCTTCTGTTGGTCTTTCCCATCTCAGTAAATGACACCACTGTCTACCCAGTTGTTTAGGCCACAAACGTGGGAATCGTCTTCTCTATCTCCTTCAAGTCCTTCAACTAAATGACCTTAAGTTCTGTGGGCCATACCTCAGTTTCTATCCCAAATCCCTTCCTCTTTCAACTTCTAATGTCAGTGCTCTGCTCCAAGCCACCATCTTCTCTCACCTGGATCATTGCAGCAGCCTCCAAAATGGTCTTCTTTGCCTTGTTTCTTCATTCCACAGATATTTCTGAAGTATCTTTATGTGCTAGTATGGGAGCCAGATGTTAATCAATCACCACATAAATAAATGTATAATCTCAAATTTTAAAGTCTTTTTTTTTTTTTTTTCTTTTTTCAAATTTGGTAAGTCTTAGAAAGTACTTTGAGGTACATGGTGCATTGGGAATCTGTTATAGTGCACCTTGACTTAGAAAGGAGAAGGGGGGTAGGGCTTCCCTGAAACATGGTGCCTGAGCTGAGACCCTAAGGATAATGAAGAGAGAAAGGTAGAGAGAGGGTTCTAGACAAAGGAGACAGTGCATTACATGCCCTGTGGTGGGAGGAGAGCAGAGCTGGTAAAGGGGCTGAAAGAAGGCCCGTGAGGCTGGAGCAGAGAGCACAGGGAGGCCTGCTGCTAGATGAGACTGCAAGGCGATGGGGCCTTGTAGCGTTTTAAGGAAGGGGGTGTTACTTGCTTTGCACTCTCCATTCTTGCCCCCTTCTCAGCAATCTCACTACACTTTTCTACTAAATTCTCTTTCCTGCTCTGAGAGAACCATTTGAGACCTTGGCCTCTTTCCTCAAATATCCACCAAAATCCCTCGTCCTCATTCTAAACTGATGACTTGACTTTACACTTGATGGAGAAAATAGCAGTAATCATATATGAAAAATGCTTTATCTTCTGAGAAATACTTCATTTTCCCATTACCAAATCCACCAGCCTCCCTGCACCTACCTAGGTCTATACCAGTAAGTAGGACACCTCTTCCTCCTTCTCTCTATGCCCCGAGTCTCATTTCCTCTCATCTATTCTCAGGCTTGGCTTTTGCATTTATCTCCCCTCTCCCTCATTGTCAGTTTCTCACTCTCTGTTGGATCATTTCCATTGGCCTACAATCATGTCCATCCATGCCCATCTTTTAAAAACTTTCACTTAGCCCCACATCCCTTTCCAGGTACCATCTCATCTCTCTGCTCCCCTCAGAGCCAAACCATTCAAAAGAATTATTCATACTCATTGTCTTCATTTGCTTTACTCATTCCAACTGGGCTTTTGTCTCCAGCGTTCTACTAATAAAATTTCTTTTCAAGGTAAGCAGAAACCTCCTCCTAGTCGTTTTTCTGTCTTCATCTCACTGTACCCCTCAGTATCACTTGATACATCAAGTTGAACACTCTCCTCTCCTTAACACTTTCTCTCTTGGTCTCTACAACCCCGTATTCTGGTTTTCCTTCAGCCTTCCTGGCTGTTCCTCCCCCTCCAGACGTGTTCAGGGTTCCTATAGCCTCACTCTTCCTAAACAACCTCGGCCAGTCCCAGGACTTTAAATGCCTGCAGTCTCCATGCTGAAGACTCCCAAGGGTTTATTTCCAGTACCCCCCAAATACCAACTCAGCATCTCTACATGATTGTTTAGTAGTCGTCTTGAACCTAACATGTTCAAAACAGAACTCTTCAACTTGGCTTCATAAACCTGCTCCTCCCCTGAGCCTTCTCCATCTCAGAAATAGCACCACCACCCACCCAACTGCTCAAGCCAAAGCCTAACAGTCACTTGATTTCTCCCTTGCCGTCCACTCCTCACCTTCAGCCTTTCTGCTGTACCTCCAGAACATATACAGCGAATCCAGCCACACGTACCATCTCTACTGCTGAAACCATCACCAGAGTCTCCTAATTGGTTGCTGTGTTTCAGCTCTTGCCCCTCCATGTCCAATCCATTCTCCAAATAGGTGTAATAATAGTTCCACTTGTAACTTGTTACACATGCTCCACTGGGTGAGAGTGAAATCCATCACATCCCATGTGATGAGAGTGAAATCCAAACTCCTTCCTGTGGCCTACAGGATCCTACACAGTTTGGCCCTATCCCCTGCCTGACTTTGATATCCCCTCCTTCTCATTCACTGAATGTCAGTCTCACTGGCCTGCATGAGCTTGCTGTTTGCTTAAATCTTTGCAAGACTGGTTCCTAGTTATTCAGGTTTTACCTCAAATGTCACCTCCTCAGAGAGGCCTTCCTTGGTTACTCAGTCTCAGGTTGCCCCTGCCCATCTCTCTTTCACCATCTGCTTTACTTTTTATTGTATTTAATGCTACCTGACGTGAGCTTACTTGATCACTTACTATCATCTTTTTGTGTTTGTTTCTTCATCTCCTCCCACTTGAATGTCACAGATATCCTCTGTCTGGTTTACTGCCATGTTCCTAGTGCCTAGAACAGTACACATAGTCAGAACTCAGTAAACATTTGTGGAATGAAAACTCTTAGAAACAATTTAGACATTTTTGGTAAGAAGCAGATGGGGATGTAGAGAGGAAATAGTAAATCCCAAGTCATAGAAAGAAGCTTTAATATACTTATTGGAAATAACAAATTCAGTAAATTTTAGAATGACGCTGTAGGTTCTGTAGGATAGAGCAGTGGTTCTCAAACCGGGCACTTTTACCCCCTCCCTCCAGGGACATTTGGCAATGTTTGGAGACATTTTTGGTTGTCAGGTGGGGGGGAGTGCTACTGGTGGTATCTAATGGGTAGAGGCCAAGGATACTGCTAAACATGCTGTAGTGCACAAGATAGCCCACAACAAGGAAATTACCTGGCTCAAAATGTTAATAGTGCTGAAGCTGAGACATCCTTGTATAAAGGATGGTATAATATAGATTCTTCAGCATACAAAGCAGCTGGTACCATAGAACTTTCTGTGATGATGGAAATGTTCTATATCTACTCTATCTAGTACAGTAAGCAGTAGCCATATGTGGTTATTGGGCACTTGAAATGTGGCTAGTGCAACTGAGGAACTGAATTAATTAGTGTATTTAATTTTAATTATTTAAAACTTAATAGCCTCGTGTGGCTAATGGCTACCATATTGGACAATATGGTAAAATGTAAAGAATTCTAATTGTATAACTAACAAACTTTATCGTGTGTGTGTGTGCGTGCACACACACATACACACACATGTAGATATAAACTTTGTGCACAGAGTTTGCATTCTTTTCAAATACATGAAATTATCCTAGATCCCCCAAGCAAAGATCCTATACCGTTTGGCCTCAAGCCCCTCTCAGCCTCTGTTACCACCCCACCCCCACCCCACCCATTCACTGAACGTCAGCCCCTGGCCTGCAGAAACCTGGCAGCTTGGGCAGATAAAGACATGAAGGCATTCTGCTTCAGGATAGCCAAGGAACACCGAGAAGCTGGGTGTGGCTGAACATAAAGAGTCATTCCTGAGCTGATAAATCTTGATACTGAAGCCTTAGTTACAGGTAGTTGGATTATCCAAAGTTGGATTCCCCAACCCAGACTAGGGTCTGGTTGAAAGCTCGGATTCCTGAGACCTCATCTAGGAGATTTCCAAGCTGTTTTCTCCAGCGTGCTCCTTCTCAGTTAGGAAATCCCCAGCCAGGAGGGCAGGAGCCCAGCTGGTGGCACTGGCCACTCCCTGTACCACTGTGCCCTTTCCTGTCAGCCAAGCTTGTGTTCCCAGGAGTACACGCACATCCCCCATGTCCATCGGGAGGCTCCCAGGAATTGAAAAATGCCTCCTCATCCAAGTGTACTCCTGGTCTGAGACAGACCTTGACATTATGATCTCTCTAGGTTAAGTCCTTTTGAGCTAACCATGAAGTAAATGAAGAGATGGAATAGGGAACTTGAAAAATCAGGCAGGACGTTAAATAACATGGACTCGCATGAGGAGATAGTTATTTCCTTCTCATTTCTGCTCAAGAAGAAAAAACAAGTTTGGTGCTAGTATTTCTTCAAGCCTCTCTAGTTTTTGCCATTCTTCCTTTATAATAAAGATAGGCTTCAGAGCCTTTGCAGACAACAATGTCTAGTTAAAACTCATTAGCATGATTTTATCCTATTCAGTTTTCCAGTGACCTTCAATTTATGTAGGAGCTCTGGTGGTGCAGTGCCCAAGGCATTTGACTACAAGCCAGAAGGTTGGCAGTTCAAACCCACCAGCCACTCCATGGAAGGAAGAGGGGGCAATCTACTTCCGTAAAGATTTACCGTCTCGGAAACCCAGTGGGGGTCACCGTGAGTCGGAATTGACTCAATGGCAGTGGGTTTGGGTTTTTAGTTAATGTTTCCATTTATAGTAGTGACGCAAAGTTTCTTTTCTAAATGTGTTTATATTTCAAAATAATCCTTTTAGAGAAAATTATTAAGTAATAGTACAGGCACTATCTGGATCTAGCACAAATCATGTCATGATTCATGAATGACATTAGCAACAGCTGTGGAGAGTGTTGGGTCCATTTGTTTGCAAGACTAGCCCTTCCTGGAACAGCTAGCCGGCTCTGGTGCTTGTCTTTAACTGCTGCTTCTCATTCCAAAGGTTCGTTTATCAAGCAAAAGTTGGGGGTCGCTGGTTCCCAGCCGTCTGTGCCCACAGCAAGAAGCAAGGCAAGCAGGAAGCAGCAGATGCGGCTCTCCGCGTCTTGATTGGGGAGAACGAGAAGGCAGAACGCATGGGTTTCACAGAGGTAACCCCAGTGACAGGGGCCAGTCTCAGAAGAACTATGCTTCTCCTCTCCAGGTCCCCAGAAGCACAGCCAAAGACAGTTAAGACGTCTACTTTTGGTGCTCTCTTTTTGTTGGGGGTCCTGCTAAGTCCCCTGTGGGTGAAGTCAGCTCTTACTATCATGTAAATTATCCCCGGGCTTTAATTTTAGCCTCAGTAGACCGTAAAATGGGACTAGATGTGAGAGGGGTGTAGATGTGAGTCATTTTGACTCACAAGCCAAGTGGTACGCGATCCCTCTGCCCACTCTGAAGTATGATGAACGTAGATTGGGCTCTGTGGGCTCTGTGGCCCTGACGTAGCCTCCTGTCCCCACAGCTTCCTCTCACTGGCAGCACCTTCCATGACCAGATAGCCATGCTGAGCCACCGGTGCTTCAATACTCTCACCAACAGTTTTCAGCCCTCCTTGCTCGGCCGCAAGATCTTGGCGGCCATCATCATGAAGAAAGACCCTGAAGACCTAGGTGTCGTGGTCAGCTTGGGCACAGGTAAGTGAGACTGAATCCTGGTCTTGCAGACAGCGGGCCCTTCTCATTCTCTCCTGACATCCTATGTGAGCAAGTGGAAGTTGGGGAGAAAAGAATTTTCTTAGATTTCATTTTAGCTGCAGTTCATTCAAAGGCAGTGAACGAATTCTCATTTCCTGGGGAAGAGAATGTGGGAGAGAGCTGAGAAATGGAAGCTGTTTCATCCTTCAAGCCTGTGCGTCGGGTTTCCTTTGGTAATTTCACATTTGCTTTGACCCCTTTCCCAGGAAATCGCTGTGTGAAAGGAGACTCTCTAAGCCTAAAGGGAGAAACTGTCAACGACTGCCATGCAGAAATCATCTCCCGGAGAGGCTTCATCAGGTGAGCCAGCCGCCTCTCTGCTCCATCTCTCCTGGGGCCACCACTGGCCTCTCTGAGCTCCACCAGAGCCGTCAGGGGCTGGCCTTTGCTTTCAGCACGTCCATTTGAACCAGCCTTATGGAATCGATCCCCTCATGACCCAACTCAGGCTGCCTCTCGCCTGCCCATCCTGTTTTTAAGTATACTTTCTTTTCCAGCGAGCTCTGTTTTATGCCCTTTTAAAAAACTCAGAGTGACCTCTTGGTCCTCAGGGCCTTGGGGATGAGGCAGCCTTTCTATCTTCACTTCAGGACCTGTCAGCCGGCCCGCTACCCTGCCTGCTTTCTCCTCCACTTCACCTTTTCTTTAATTTATGAAGGAAGAGAAGCCACGGCCTCCTGGAATCTTTGAGTCCATTTGTTCTGCCCTGGAATCCCTGTAGCCACCATAGTCAGGCCCCTGGGCAGAAATGAAACTGACCCGAAAGGCTAGCTTCGCTTTATGAAATGCATGGTCTCCCATGGAGAATTTCCCACCACCCTGTACTTCCTGCAACCTGAGAAACTGTGAGAGACTGTTTCCTTACTTAGGCTCAGATAGAGATCACATTGTATTGTAGAAGAAAATGCTACTCCAGGAAAGAACTTGCCTTCTTAACCATATATATATATATATATGTATTTTTTGGTAGGTTTCTCTATAGCGAGTTAATGAAATACAACCCCCACACTGCAAAGGATAGTATATTTGAGCTCGCTAAGGGAGGAGAAAAGCTCCAAATAAAGAAGACGGTGTCATTCCATCTCTACATCAGGTCTGTACTCTCCCGCTGCACCAGAGCTGGCCCCCAGGCCCCCAGGGTTGGGTGTACAATTGTTGTTCCTCACCCAGCAATCCAACCTTACTCAGTGGGCCACGGGCAACTGTGTGTTTGAGGTATGTACTCCATTGTAGAATGACTTACATACATTTTACCCACCTCCGGCATCCCATGGTGCGTGTGGTGGTTATGTTTGTGTGTCAACTTGGCTGGGCCTGATTGGGTGGCTGGCAGCTTGGTGGTAGTTATTCTCCACCATGAGGAGACTGGCAATCATCTCCATGGTGGGATCTACCACAAGCAGCTGAGTAGCTGCTTTGGGTATATGGTCTGCTTCCTATATATAAGCAGCAGCTTTGGGAATGGTCTCTAGCTTATGGCACACTTGGACCCTACATGTAGCCGTGTCGTTGTTCAGTAGCCTGCCATGCTCTGCCAACTTTGGGACTTAAAATAGACCTGAATTAATGGCCTGCTGTGTGGTTTGGTAACATCGGGACTGTGCCTTTTTACTTGTCAACCTTGGGCTTCTCAGTCTCAGCAGCCAGCAGCTGTCTGAGTGAAGAAATGCCTCTAGCTCCAGTGGGCCAGGAGCAGGAGGCAGAGCTGGACCCCAAGATTGAGGGACTTTCACCCAGCCCCTAGAGCCTGGCACTTTGAACTTAGACTTAAAGCCTCCAAATTGTAAGAAGAAACTCCTGTTTGTTGAGGACGTCCCATTTGTGGTATATTCCTGTCAGAGCGGCACTTAGGGAACCAGAACAGTAGGTTTCTGAAAAATTCCACCATATGTGACTGACCGTTTCTTTACCCCAGGCAATTGGAGGGAAATGTCCGCATAGGTGAGTTTTAACACATGTCCTTCTTGCGTAGCACGGCCCCCTGTGGAGATGGTGCCCTCTTTGACAAGTCCTGTAGTGACCGTGCCGTGGAGAGCACAGATTCCCGTCACTACCCTGTCTTTGAGAATCCCAAACAAGGCAAGCTCCGCACCAAGGTGGAGAACGGTGAGTGGCACACGTCCCCTCTGCTTCTCACCAAAGGGCTCTGCAGGGCCCCAGGCTGATCACAGGGACAAGGGCACAACTGCTGGGTTTTTGCCATTAGTTGCTGAGATACAAGAATGTTGTTTACAGGGAGAGGGAACATCTGCTTAGGGGGGCGGGTCTGTAGGAAGATTGAGATTCGATGATGAATTTGTTCATTTGGGAGACCTGGGAGATCTTTGAGTCAGATCAGTGGTGGAGGTCCCCATGTGGAACTCAAAGGACAGCGCTTGGCTGGAAATGAAAATTGGAGAGTTGTCCTCCATAGATGAGCTTTACAGCCGTGGGTGGGGATGGGATCACCCAGGGACAGAAGGAGGGGGGAAAAATGAAAAGAAAGTGATACATAACCAAGCCCTAAGGAATGGACAGATAAGGACGCTAAGTGTCCAGTCCCCCTTCTGTGTGGTTGGCTGCGGATTCTACTCCTTGTTCACTCACTTCTTCCCTTGCACTGTCCTCTAATGCCTCTGTACTGTCTCCTCACATCCCCTACTGTTCCCTTCAGTTCATTCTTCAACAGTCAGCAGCATCATCCTCCAACAGAAATCAGATCATGTCATTGCCCTACTCAGAACCCCACAGTGTAAAGCATACCCAGCATTTCCCTCCTTGATCTGTGCCCAAGAGAACTGAAGACATATCCACACAAAAATTTGTACATGAATGTTCATAGCAACATTATTCATAATAGCCAGAAAGTTTAACAACCCCAATGTTCATTAACTGATGAATGGATAAATAAAGTGTGACTTATCTATCCAATGGACTATTTGTCATACAAAGGATCAAGGTACTGATACACACTACAACATGTATGAACCTTAAAAATACTATGCCAAGTGAAAGAAGCCAGATAAAAAGGTCACATAGTATATGGTTCCATTTATTTGAAATGTCCCTAACAGGCCAATCCATAGAGTAGATTAATGGTTGCCAGGAATTGGGGGCTAGGGGACTTAGGGAGGAGTGGGGAGTGACTGCTAATGGGTACAAGATTGCTTTTTGTGGTGATGGTTGCATTCTAAAAACCATTCAGTTGTACACTTTCAGTAATGAAATGTATGATATGAGTTAAAACTTAATAAAGATTTATCAACAAAAAAACAAAACAAACCCTATAGTGGCTTCCCACTGCACTTCATGTAAAAGCAAAACCTGCCATGAGTGCCCAGGCCCAGCGTCATCCCATGTCACTCATGTCTGGCCTTTTGTCAGTTCCTGCTGCCCCAGGGCCTTTGCTTCTGCTGTTTCTCTGTCTGGAACCCTCTTCTTCCCTCTGCTCCTTTTCCATGTCTCAGCTCCTTTGACTCCTCTATCCCGGGAGCTTCCCCTGCTGTCTTCCATCATAGCTCCTGGAAGCCTCAGAGCATTTACCATCTGGAATCCTTACATATGTATTGGTTTACTTGTTTAGTATCTGTTCCATTCCTGTCCTGTCCTCTCACCTCATTAGATGTTCCATAAGGACAAGGATATATTATGTTTTTGCTCACTATAATTTCCCAACACCAAGCATAGTGCCTACCACATAATAGGTGCTCTGGAATATGCAAAAGGAATGAACGAGTAGCCCATGGCCCAAGTCTAAGGAGTTCAAGCACTACACCAAGGCATGGTCTGGCCCAGTGTCTCCTGTGGATCTGACCCAAGTCTCTAACACAGGGGAAGGTACAATCCCAGTGGAGTCGAGTGACATCGTGCCTACGTGGGACGGCATTCGACTTGGAGAGAGACTGCGTACCATGTCCTGTAGTGACAAAATCCTCCGCTGGAACGTACTTGGCCTGCAGGGGGCGCTGTTGACCCACTTCCTGCAGCCTGTGTATCTCAAATCTGTCACATTGGGTAAGGGACATAGAATGCCTTGGGAGCTGGAACTGGTCTGTCCTAATCCCCAAATCCTGGCAAACTATATGCTTTGTTGCCAGGTGTTAACATGGTGTCTCCCTTTTTCAAAGTGTGCTTAACTCAGCAGTCAGTAGTAGATTTTGACTGCCCAGCCTGCTGTGGTAGAAGAGCACTTTAGAAGGCAAGTCCTTTCAAGAGAGTTGAAGAAAGCCAGTAGCTTAAAAATGTAGTGTCTTAGTGTCCTTGTTCTCCACAGCCCTTGGCCTAACTTGGACCCTTATATATTGTGCTTAAATATTTGATGATGCCCTACATATCCTGGGTAGCCACAGTCAGAAGGTGCTTCCTAACAAGGGAGCTGTTTCCCTGTCCTGATGACCCTACTTTGTACTTTTAAACCACTCACACACCTCTCCTCTTAACAGCACGCGTGGTACAAACCCAGGTGTATGTATTTTTTGTATTCAGGTTACCTTTTCAGCCAAGGGCATCTGACCCGTGCTATTTGCTGTCGTGTGACAAGAGATGGGAAGGCATTTGAGGATGGACTACGACATCCCTTTATTGTCAACCACCCCAAGGTACCATCCATTTACCCCTTGATCTTTTGCTCCTTTTCAAGCAATCCTGTCAGCAGAGTAAACGTGTGCTGTGGGCCAAGGGGCACCTTTGCTGGTGTCCCAAGAACTTACCCTTTCTTCCTTTTGGATGACAAGGGCTTTCCTTCTGTGAGTCTGGAATTAGTTTGACTAGAGATGGGGTTAGTATGTTTAGATTCTGCTTAAAAACCTAAGTTCCAAACTCACTGCCATTGAGTTGATTCCAACTCATAGTGACCCCCATTGAGTTTCCAAGGCTATAAATCTTTATGGAAGTAGACTGCCCCATCTTCCATGGAGCAGCTGGTAGGTTCAAACCACCAACCTTTTGGTTAGCAGCCAAATGCCTTAGCCACTACATCACCAGAGCCCCTAAGATTCTGCTTAGTCTTAGCCAAATAGACTACTAAATAAGGGGAAGATCAAGGCCCCACCATCCCTGTTTCCTATGAGTCCTGAGTCCCTGCTTCAGAATCTTTCTGAAAGGTTTCATCTTTCTCTTGTTGCTCCTGGGATTTCTAGGTTGGTCGAGTCAGTGTATATGATTCCAAAAGGCAGTCAGGGAAGACTAAGGAGACAAGCGTCAACTGGTGTTTGGCTGACGGCTATGATCTGGAGATCCTGGATGGGACTAGAGGCACTGTGGATGGGTAAGGAGAAGAGCAAAGCTATCCTTCCTGCCCTGACCTGCGACAGTCTCTAGACCTTAGTGATTACCTGTCCTACGATGGTTTCTTCACCTTGGAGTCCCCTCTTTACTGCTCTCACATGAATAACAAATGCTCTTATTTCTCCAGGCCACGGAATGAATTATCACGGGTCTCCAAAAAGAACATTTTTCTTCTATTTAAGAAGCTGTGCTCCTTCCGTTACCGCAGGGACCTACTTAGACTCTCCTATGGTGAGGCCAAGAAAGCTGCCCGTGACTACGAGATAGCCAAAAACTACTTCAAAAAAAGCCTGAAGGACATGGGCTATGGGAATTGGATAAGCAAACCCCAGGAGGAAAAGAACTTTTATCTGTGCCCAGTATAGTATGAGCCAGAACTGATTGGTTGGGGGTGTTCACACTGGGATGAGGTAGGTTGTAGCATTCCTCATCACATTGGTCAAGGTTTTTTTTTTCCCCCTTCCTTTTTTTTTTTTTTTTTTTTTTCAATGGAACCAGGATTGCTGATACTGAGACCTTTGGGTTCCTCTTGGTCCCACTTTGTTTGGGATTGCCAGGCTGGGTCTGGCCAGCCCCCCTTCTGTTTTCCCGAGTGAAAAGGCAGAGACCTAAGGGGAGAGGAAAAGGGTTGTCTTTTCACCCAAACGATAAGCATCTGTGGCCATTTCCTCTTAAGTTTTGTTTTTGCCATTTCCTCTAAGTTTGTGTTTGCTACACTGACCTCCTGAGATCCTGATAAGGTTCCAGATGAGTATGTCAATCACGTCAGGGACTGATGGTTTCCTTGGTGGAAGTGCAGGCCCTTCTACTTCCCCCCTCTCTTTCTGAGATTCCTTTCTTGTGATCATCAGGTTTCTCTTTTTCCTACCCAAGAGGGTAAAGAGGTAAACTTAAAGTATTTGGTGAAACATTTACAAGGGCAGGAGTTGAAAACTGCAGTCAGTTAATTCCTGGTGCCAATGGAAGTGTGTGACTGGAATCTGCAGATAACTGCTCCATGAGCTTTAGATCTTGCACTTTAGCCAGTTGGGAGGGGCCAAGAGACAGGGAAAGTACACCCCTTCCCCAGGCAGCAGGGACACCTAAAACCAGCCAGACTGGGCTAACGGAATTGCCCAAGCAACAGCTGAGGTTCCTTTGCAGGGATGGCACAGACCACTTCCCAGGGAGCACAGGCATTCCTGGAATGTTGCCAAGCTCCCAGCTGCTCCTCCTAAAGCATTTCTGGGAATTTGCCCTGCCAATGGAGGGAGTGGGGCCACAGACCCAACCAACTGGCAGAAAAAACCCAGGACGGATCCTAGTGGGCAAATTGCCTCCGCACAGATAATCAGGTCTTAGCAAGAATGAGACACAAAATCATGTTGGTCAGATCACTGTTCTTCCCAGCATGTTTCACCTGACTCAAGGAAAGTCAGCTGATAAGTCATGGGTCAGTTACGAGTTTTTAAAAGAATGAGGTAGATGTTGATTCTTGCCTGCTACAGATAACCTGTAATTGCACAGATTTAAAATTCAGACGTACCTGTCCATTTATCCAGTTGCTTTCATTTTACCAGGTGGATTCTGAAGTTGGTATGTGGGCAGGGCACAGATTGAAGGTCGTCTCCCTGCCTGTTAGGGCATCTTAGGCTTCACATATGACAAGGTAGTGGTTGTAGGTGAAAGGGCAAGTTGTCCCCAGACTCTGAGGTGAAGCCCTTTGTCTACATCTCAACCTGATGTTGACTCATGGTCAGAGCCTTCGGCCTCTCTGTGGAATCTGGCTGTAGGCCCAAGTCAGCCAGACACGTACAAGAGAACTACAGAGGCTCTGCTACCTCCAGGACCTGACCTGCCTCTTTCCTCTAGATAGCGTATCTTCACCTGTGAACATGCCAAGCCACGTGCCCACCCTCAGATGATTTTCCATCTTTCTCCCATCCTGCTAACCCTCTGCAAACTACTGACTAGTTTAACCCTCCGTCTGTCCCGCCTCTTCAACAGTAGACGTGTCCACATGTGCACTTTTATTCTTGTGGCTATATACCCCCTGTTCCTTTGACCAAAAATTGACCAAAATAAGATCTAAGTTTTTAGAATAAAATAGGGATGTCCTTGCATAACACCAAAGTGTCCCAAGGAGCTGGTAGGGAATTAGTGCCTGTTTTCTGGATGGAATCACTGCTCCTGGTCGTCTGCCTCTGCTGCAGGCATATGAGTTAGTCCTGGCCCCAAATCTGGGGCAGAGAGGTCTCATGGTTCTGAGCCACCAGTAGGGAGTTCATCCCCTCAGTATGCCGACTGGAGGGCTCTCACCTGCTGGATCTTCAGAGAGCTTGGTTCTTCCAGTTGTCTTGGGTATTAGCATTACCTGCAGAGCTCTGACTGGCTGCTGCCTCTTCAACCAGGAGCATGGCAGCTCTCAAAAGACCAGAGCGCCCCTTGCCCCCAAGATCTTACCTAGCAAACTTCCAGTATTGTGTCTGCTGTAGGACGAGAGCAAGGCATCTCTGAGCTCCACATGTCCACTGGAGGTGAGCCTGTGCCAGGCCCTGCACCACCACATCCTCGCACCCAGGTCCCACAGGACAGAGGAAGCAGAGCTCTACCCAGAGGGCTCTGTTCATTCTTCTGTCAAATCATTGTTTTTAAAAACAGGAAACTCCCCCTCCTTTTTTTTTTTTTTTTAAATGATTTTTGTAGTTGATTTGTCTGAACTGTGGCTATTGTGCATCCTTTGAATAATCACATGTAAGAATTGTCGCTGCTTGAAGCTATTTCCTTTACTCACATTGAAGAGATTTTGTTGGTTTTTGGAGTCTTGGTTGTGACTCCAAGAGCAGAGTAGGGAAGAGCCCAAGGGTAGACTTGGGTACCATGATGGCTGCAGTCCAGTTTTATAATTCTGCTCTTATGTGTCTCTTGATATCAGTGACTAACAATATACATTCCTCATAAATAAAAAAAGACGACTCTGAATTTGTTAGAAAGCCTCAAGTCTTGGTTTCTGGAGGAAGGGGGTGGATGGGGAACCTGTGGACTGGGAGTTCAAATAACAATTCCAGTGACACTGGGGGAAGAGAGGGTCCCCTCTGCCTGCACAAAGCCCATTCCAAAGGGCCTTCCTGGGCAAGTGAGCGCATGCTGGGTGCTCTGTCGGTACTTCCCCAGCTCCATCAGCGCCCACCATTAAATATCTTGCCCCAGGCACTTGGTATGCAGGATTTCAAGGCTCAGAATAGGAAAACATCTCTTGAAACAATATCACAAAGTATACACAGACCTAGGTCTCCCTGAAGGAGCCCTGGTGGCTCAGTGGTTAAGCGCTTGGCTGTGAACTAAAAGGGTGGTGGTTCGAACCCATCAGCTGCTCTACAGAAGAAAGATGTGGTAGTCTACTTGCGTAAAGATTTCAACCTTGGTAGCTTATGGGGTAGATCTGCTGTATCCTGTGGGATCACTATGAGTGCAAATCAACTCCATCCATGGCAATGTGCTTTTGGTTACCTCTCCCTGAGGGGTGTTTTTCTACCCTACGTGCCAGCTGCTCTGCCTGCAGGGATATTCATATTTCCTGGACCAGGACTGGTTTGGTTGCAGTGTTATGGAGACAGGCCATTTACATTTTACTTCATACATGGCATCTAGCATCTCTCCATCCTGAATTTCAAAGAGGATGCATCACTTTTCACAATGTCATTGAGTACAGAATTTCTACAAGATTCATCCTTGACCATTTAAAAATTACCCCAGTGAGCACAAAGTACCGCATGTGAGGCCTACCTTCAGTCAAAGTGAAGCCTCCCTCATATAGACTCCTCCCATCGTACAGATGAACAGTGAGACCATGAGGGCTGGCAACATGTTTGGGAGCACATCAATCAGGGCCAGAACTCTGCGTGTCTTTCATAGTTTGCTGAAATACAGTGTTAGATGAACTGAGTATTTTTTAAGCGCAGTGAAGGATAATGTCTGCCTGTCACGACAGACCAGGAGCCTGTGTCTCTGCTCTGTGGTAGCTCCTGGTTTCACCCAGAGGGGAACGTAGAATCCAGGTCTTTTAGGAAGTAGCCCGTTCACTTGATACCTAAGGCAAATGCCCAGCCTGCCCTTCCCACCACTCTGTCTACTGGAGGCAAGGTTGTCCTGTGGGGCACAAGAGGAGTTTTTGGCTTATCATTTCTTTTGCCGTTCACTCTTCCTTTCAGCCACGGGCCCCACAGTTTAATATTGTTGCCAGATTTGGGGCCCACATCAAGCCAGTGTTCTTGGGGCAGGTGTGGCCTCCATGTGGACCGCAGCCTTGACTTCCAGGCCATTGCTGCCTCTAGGGTCAGGTCCTCCTCTGCTGGCTCTGTCCACTACAGGTCCAGCCATCTGGTTATTTATTTTCCATGTGATGGACTTGTGAGTCAACAAATCACAGTAATTGAACAGCAGACCATAACCACTCACCTTTTCTTTAGATTCTTGTAATGTCTAACCTTTCATGAGTCCAATGTCCCTCTGCTCTCTTTTTCCCTGGACTTACCAACCCTGGCCCGGGAGGACTCCACCTCTTCCCCACAAACAACAGAGCAACAAGACATCCTCGGAAACAGCCTTCTTCACAAGAATCTTGAGTTCCTCATGAGGCCGGCCTGGGCTGTCCTAGACCAGTGCAGGTATTCCAGGAATGCAGAGAAGGGACCAAGGCCAGTGTGGGGATGTGGATGGGGTGAGTGAAGTGTCCTAATGATTCCTAGACCTACAGTCCCTTTGGAACCACGTGGTTATCACACTGGCCTCCTGTGCCTGGTAAGATTAAAAGGTGGTCCCCATTTCCTGTCCAGTCAGGGTCGTGAGTGGGACGCTGGTCAGCTGCAGCCAGGGTGTGAGGAGCACTGGGACCAGCACAATCCACCTAGAAGCAGGGGATGACGAACGACCCCAGTCTACTCTGGCTGTAGGAGTGAAGTCAGAGAAGAACTGGCTGTCCCTTACTGTCCTCCCAAGGCGCTCTCTTCCTACCTTCCTCAAAGGCCACGGCAAAAGCATGGACTCTGGGGTCATCCACTGTGTCACTTGGCTTCTCTGGGCCCCATTTTTGATTCTATAAAATACGGACTAAAGAATACATCTGAAGAAACGGGCTCAGAGTAGACCCTTGGTAGACCCTAGGTAAATACTAGCTAGAACAGACATGGGCTAAAGCCCCTAAACCCTCCAGAGAGCCTTCTCTATTCACCTAGAGGGAAATGACTTTGCCCTCTCCTCTATACATAGCCTTCCTCTGCAGAAAACTCCACCTGGGGCTTCCCAGGTCATGTTTGCTTTTAAATTTTCAGTAACTTGGCACAGCTGTTGTAATCCTAGACACCTTGCTGCCAGGAATCTGCCTCCCTCTGCTGCACTGCCGACCAACAGGAGCAGAGCCTGAACATGCTTCTTTTCAGAGAAAAACAGCCATCACTGCCTGTGGCCCTACTGGTTCTGATGAAGATGATCCCAACACACTTCCTCACTGCTCACCTAAACCCACCTCGCCTGGAGTTTCAATCCTATCTCTGCCTCACTCTCCAGACCTGAGCCGCAGGGCCACACTCTGAGTGAGCTGGGCATCTAATTATCTCCAGAGACAGCCCCACCATGGGGCCAGGAGCTTCACTGAAAGCACCAAGGGAAGGACATAGGACCAGGAGTTGAGAAGACCGTGCTTCCCCTGGGCCCCGGAGGATGCTAACACCTTGCCCGTAACACCTTGCCCATGCAGTAGAGTCCTCCTGTAAGTCTGCTACACCTTGATCCTACCCAGTGCTTTTCGCCTGTGCTGCGTGTCCGCTCCCACCCACCAGCACCAGCTCCCCACCTCCACTGTGCTTGGAGAATCAAGAGGCCCAGCTGGGCCCCAGAGAATCGAATGGCCTGTGTCAGGCCAAGCCCCTGGGGTGCACTTGGCCAACTGACCCCACTGTGACTTGCCATCTGCCGGCCCCACACTGAACACAGGCTAGAACCACGAATCGGAGCCAGTCAAGTGTGTGAGGGAGGGAAGGGGATGGGCAGAAGATTCCTTGGGAGGTCTGTTTCCTGGAGTAACCAGCTAAGTGGCCTCCAGCCAGCCCCTGGGAAAAGTGGCAGGATGCAGCCTCAGGGACCCACGGACCGGAGAGGCTATGCTTCCTGGTGAGCCCCTGGAAGCAGCAGGTCTGTCCGCCTGTCCTTCCAAAGTTCAGCTTCAAAGGTACTCAGGTTTGATTGGGAGAAGGAAGCAGAAGACCAAGAGCAGGAAGGATGGAACTTTGAGCAAGAGCGGAACAGGAGAGGCAGTGCTGACGCAGCAGGGTCCGGCCTCGATGGGCCTCCACAGCTCCTCTCTCCTGCCAGTTGGGGGCTGCTGTGGGCAAAAGGCTGGCTCTGCTTAAAGCTGACATCTTTACTTCCTTCGAACAATCAGTCAATTCAGAGTGAGCAGAAAAGCAGGACACTCACTCCAGATGGATTTCAGGGCAGGAGGAAGGTCAGAGACCCAGGTCTGTTCTTTCATCGGTAACATGACTCATAAACAGAATGCAGAATGCGTGACTGCGAAAGGCTTTCCCAGCTCTGTGAACTTTGTGAACTTGCATTTCTCACTTCAAGCAGGTCACCCAGGCTCAGAACCCAGAGACCCTCTAATGCCCAACTGTGTCCAGCACACACTGAGCCTGAGTGAGAAAGGTAGGCAAGTCCAGGGGGTGCTGAGAACTCTTCATTGGACCAGAACGGGGCCTGGGGCTTGGGCTCTGTGCCCCTTAGAAGCAAGGGGTATGGGTTTGAGGTGGAAGCCTCCCCCCAGGAGCCTGTGCCCTCAGTGCCCAGCTAAGCTCTCTAGGCAGAAACCTCTGCCCACTGAAGCACACCCAGCCCAGCTCCTGTCCACTCAAGCAGAGTGGATGCCAACTTGTATACAGGCCTCTCTCCACTTGCTCCTACCTTCTGAGCACCCACTGTATTCGGCTAGGCCAGCCCAGCACAGAGTAAGCCCCTATCCCTCCCCCAATCCAACTTGCCCTCCTTCCGTGACTTGGAGGCAGTGCATGAATTTGTCTGCTGCTTGGCTCCTCTCAATCACACTTTCCTCAGGGTAGAAGTGTTAATGCCTGGCTTGGTACAAGAGGAGGAGAGTGGCCAGGACACAATGCAGCTGGTCCAGCTTCCAGGTTGCAGCTGGTTGTGTGGGTGGAGGTGTGTGCATGGGAGGGGCTCCAGGTGATGGATGGATCTGTGGGGGCAGTGTGCCCTCTTCCTGGTAGCTCACTCATCCCTCCTCCACCCAATACTTTTGTACAACAGAGGGCAAAGGGGTGAAGGAGAAGGGTCTCACTTGGAGCTGGGAGTTGAGTGGTCTGGGTGGAGGAAGGTGGTAGCGGTGTAGTTCTGAAATAGAGGCTGCAGGAACATGCCAATGGTGCCGAAGACACAGACGAAAACAAAAATCCAGAGGAACAGGCGGTCAATCACCATGGCAACGTACTTCCAGTCCTCACTCACCTGGATGGAGGAGACAGAGGGGGCCCAGATGTCAATCATGATGCAGGATGGGAGCAGAATGGGGTACACACAGCTCCCACTATACACACAGCCCTCACTTTTCTCCCTTAGTGACTCTAGAGTGACCAGGCTAAAGAACGGTTCTAATTTTGCCTAATTTTAAAAACCCCTAGTGGCCCCACTGCCTTCAGTGCCTTTCCAAACTCTCAAGTCTGGAATGAAGACCCACCCATAACAAATATGACCCTATCCTTCCTCATCCCATTATTCAGACTTATCAAACCCCAATGTATCCCCTCAAGTCTCTGTCCTTGGATTTCCTTTGTGTCTAAAATTCATGTCCTCCCTCAAATTCCAGATGAACTACGCATTCTTTAAAGCCCAAATCAAATGTCATCTCCTCTATGAAGGCTTTCCTGATGCCCTGATTAGAATGAACCACTGTCCCCTCTGGGTTTCCTCAGCACTGTGTACACACCTCCATCACAGTGTTTTTTACTGAATTTTCATTTCAATTTGCTTATCTGTTCCCCCACTAAGCTATGAACTCCTGAACCACAGGGACCCTGTCTGATTCATCTCTGCAATCCTGGTATCTGAAACACAGTGTGTCCACTAAATGAGTGTTGAATTAGTGAATGAATGGCTGCTCAGCAGGCCTCGCTCTTCATAGGACGGCACATGAAGCCTCATCCAACAGCACTCCCTCAGGCACAGAGGCCCCAGAGAGTGAGGAATGAGTCCTATATGTGAGCAGTCATAAAGATAATACCTGTCTGGGGTTGAGAGCCAGCCACAGGGCCTGCACAAAGGCCCAACCTCTCCACAGAGCTATTCCACTCCAGCTCCAGTCGGGGTCCTCATACACATGTTAGGCTGGGGTCAGACCAGCTCAGGGGGTGGAAAGGCAACTGCACACCTTCATTTAGTCAGCAGCTGAATAATCATGCATTCATGTCACAATTGTGCCTACTGGATACCTGGCATCATGCTAGGCATGGACATACAACTAAAGCAAGAGAGACACATTCTACCATTTACAGCCTACTAAGGGAGCGCTGGGAGCTCTGGTAGCATAGTGCCTAAGGCACTTGCCTGCTAACCAGAAGGCTGGCGGTTCAAACCCACCAGCCACTCCTCGGAAGGAAGATGGGGCAATCTACTGCTATAATGATACTGCCTCGGAAACCCAAGGAGGGGTCGCTATGAGTCGGGTCCGACTTGACGGCACATAAACAAGGGAGTTCTGGTGGTGTAGTGCCTAAGGCATGTGACTGCTAACCAGAAGGCTTACAGTTCAAACCCACCAACCACTCCTGCCTTGGAACCCAAGAAGGGGTCGCTATGAGTCAGATCTGATTCAGTGGCAATGAGTAAGGGAGATGAGGGGAGCTCTGGTAGCATAGTACCTAAGGCATCTGACTGCTAACTAAAGGCTGGTGGTTCAAACCCACCAGCCACTCCTCAGAAGGAAGATTGGGCAATCTACTTCCGTAGAGATACCACCTCAGAAACCCAAGGAGGGGTTGCTTTGAGTCAAATCCGACTTAATGGCAGTGCGTTTGGTTTTGGTTTGGAAGGCAGATGGACACAAAAATAAGAAGGACTGAACCAGTTACATACTGGTAGGTGCTCTTAAGGAAACAAGGACTGATATAAAGAAAAGGAAGACACACTTTAGAGTGTGGTCTGGGAAGGCCTCAGAGAGGTGATATTTAGGCTCTGATGTGACAAGTGAGAAGGAGCCAGCTATTTCAGGAATAAGCAGGAGAGAGACAAGCCCAAACTGAGGGACATTCAAATGCCTGTACCCTTCCAAACTGCTTATGCCACAAAAACACAACGTTGAGATTGATGGAAACTAAAGAGACATAACAATGAAATGCAATTTGAGAACCTGGAGGTGGGGGGAGGCTACACAGAACAATGCTGGGGCAATTGGCAAAACTTGATTATGGACTGGATATTAGATAAGGATATTACTGTATTGATGGTAAATTTCCTGAATTTGATCACTGAACCAGAGTTATACACAGGGAAGCCCTGTTCTTAGAAAATAGACGCTGAAGTATGTGGGATAAAGGGTAACAACGTCTGCAGCTTACTTTCAAATAGTAGAGCAAAAAATAATAATAGTATTTTCTTTTTTTTAAGGAAGAGTAGAAAACCATTCTCCTCCATGTACAAAGGGCTCTGAGAGGAACAGATAGGCCAGGGACATAAGCAAAGGGGAGAAGGCACAAGATGAAGTAGCAAGACATTGTGTGTATCTGGAGGGAGGGATACAGGAGCTAAAATAGGGAGGCCATTAGGAGACTCTGTCCCCATCCAGGTAAGAGCTGAAGGTGGCCTGCAACTAGGGTGGAGATGGATGGTGGTGCTATTTACTAAAAGATGGGGGGAGTGGGGGAGAGCAAGTTGGTGCGTGGGGGAGGATGCAGATCTAGTGATCTGTTTTGGAAATGCTACATCTGAGAATCCCGTGAAGCATCCAAGTAGGTCACTGCACTCTCAGCACCTAACTCACTAAACGCACAATGCATGAGTGGACTGCAGAGAGGGGGCGAGGCAGAGGCTGAGCCCCTCCACCCCAGCACCTCAGACTTGGCCTTAGCCTTCTGGGGTTTCCACCTCCCTCTCCTCCAGCCTCAGGCTCCACCTCTCATCCTCTCTCTGGACCACAAGGAACTCTCTGGCCCAAGCCCCAGTCCCATCTCCCGCCCTCCTAGAGGCCAGAAACCGAGGCTCTCAAATCCTTCCTCATCCCTAAACTGAAATGGCAACCTGATCAGTCACCAGGACAACAGCTGAGCCTCAGCCTTAGAACCTTGTATCCAGAGACTGATTATGCTTGTAGTAGGGGAGGGCTGCAGGAGCTCTAGTGGCATAGTGCCTAAGCCATTTGACTGCTAACCAGAAGGCTGGCAGTTCAAACCCACCAGCCACTCCTCGGAAGGAAGGTTGGGCTATCTACATCCATAGTGATACTGCCTCGGAAACCTAAGGAGGGGTCACTATGAGTCAGATCTGACTCCATGGCATGGTCGCTATGGCAGTGAGTTTGGTTTTTGGTTAGGGGAGGGCTGCCGTTGCCTAAAGGGGTTCTCAACCGATCACCCACACCCCTTAGCCACAAGACCCAGTGCTCAAACAGGCCCCTTCCTGGAAGCCTCTACAGAAAGAGTCAGAGCCCTCAGCTCCACTGGCTTCACCTCCATAAATATTTCACCAGGCTGTCCCTGGAGCCCAGAAGAGCAGAACAGGGATATTGATTTGGGACTCTGTCCTATCCGTGGAGAGCTGCCTTGGGGAACCTCTTAAACCCCACCTCCACACACACCCTTTTCCATTGTCCTCAATTTTACCCCCGTGGGGCACACAAAGGCCTCATCTCCGTTTGTGCTAGGAGCTGCAAGCCCAAGAACTTGCGAATGCAAGCTGCGAATGCAAGCTGCAGAGTGTAGCTCTCGGGGTCATGTTTACCGCCGGCGGGCTGCAAACCCGCAAGTGTCTCCTCCCGCTGCCGCTGCCCTCCCTAGAGTCACAGGGCACCAGCTGAGGCATTTCGCCCTAGATATAAGTCCTCAGGAAGCCGCAAGGTCGTCCTATGCCGACTCCCACTAGGCGGCGCCGCCTCCCGGAAGCCAGCTGAGAGGAACCTAAGCCAAGGCTCCTACCCGCAGCCTCAGCCTGACTCGCTCACTCACGTCTTGCGTTCCTATTAGTTTAGTGGTTCTAAGGAAAGAAAGGGAGCTCTGGTGGCCTAGTGCCTAAGGCACTTGACTGCTAACCAGAAGGTTGGCGGTTCAAACCCACCAGCCCCTCCTCGGAAGGAAGATGGGGCAATCTACTTCTGTAATGATACTGCCTCGGAAACTCAAGGAAGGGTCGCTATGAGTTGGGTCCAACTCAACGGCACATAACAACAAACAAGGAAGGAAAGAAGGTGGCTGCTATGCAGAAACTGCGCCTCTGGCAGTCTTAAACCCTACCCTCCTTCTACACCTATCTCCCCCCACGAGCCCCGTGTCTCTGGGGCTGCACTCACGCTTTGGTCCTCGTCCTCACTCCGCATGTGGTCCGCAATGAAGCGCACGCCATCCACCGCCTCCCGGAGGCCGCAGCCACATAGCCCTGTGGGGCCGGCCGCCGGCACGGGCTCAGCCCCGAAGGCCCCAGCCAAGCCCTGGACCGACGCGCGGTTGACGAAGCACGTGCACGAGTCGGCCCCAGGGGCTTCTCGGAAGAAGAGGGAGGCTCCCGCGCCTTCGCGCTCACGCTGGCGCCGCCGCAGGCGCAGACGCTGACGGGCGCAGTGGTGGCGCGGCTGTTGCATGAAGAGCAGTGCTGGCAGCTTCTCCAGGAAGACGACCTTGACCCAAGGCGCCATGGTGTGTGTGGTGGGGGAGCGATGGTGCACGTTGAGCACGCACACGCTGGTGACAATGGAGAAGGTGACGAGCACCATGGTGAACATGAGGTACTTGCCGACAAGCGGCACATCCAGGGAGGTGGGCGGCACGATCTTGGAGATGAGCAGCAGGAACACGGTGAGCGCCAGCAGCACGGAGATGCACAAAGTCATCTTCTCGCCACAGTCGGATGGCAGGTAGAAGACCAGGATGGCCAATGAAGTGATGAGCACACAGGGGATGATGAGGTTGATAGTGTAGAAAAGCGGCTTACGGCGGATGATGAAGTCATACGTGATGTCCACGTAGGTGGAGTCGTCAGGGTTCTCGTTGCGCCGTCCTGGCAGTGCCACGATGTCCCACTCACCGCTGGGTGTAAAGTCGTCTAGGTTAGCCACATCACTCTTGAGCACCAGGTCGATCTCTGTGCGGTCGTAAGTCCACGAGCGGAACTTCATGGTGCAGTTCTGCTGGTCAAATGGGAAGTGCTTTACCTCGATCTTGCATGCGCTCTTATAGATGGCAGGCGGCAACCAGAAGATACTACCATCATAGGATACCACAGCGTTGGAATAAAAGGACACCTCGTACATGCCGTCAGCACTGCCCAGGGATGAACACAGTCAGCCTGGCCTGAGAGTTCCCCATTCCCACCCATCAACCCAGCCCCGAGTGGGAGGTGAGAAAAGCCAGAGGGAGATATGGGAGGAGACCCAGGTCTGAGAGCGTGGTAATCATTCAGGAATAGGGAGAGGTGGTGCAAGGATTGAGTAAGAAGGGGATGGAAATGGGTTGGTGGGGAGAAGAGGTGTCCTGGTCAGGAGGCCTGTGTGGCCCTTCAGAGGCAGAACAGGATGGACAGAGGTAGAGAAGGGCATGTCTGCTACTTATCATGAGCTGTGTAAGCTGGTTGCTTCCTATGAGGATGGAGAGATTGGGGAAGCCACGCAGGCCAGAATGAGGAGCCCTAAGCAATGGAGGAGTACAGGGGAGGGTGGGAGCAGGGGATGGGTCCATCAGCAGAGAGAGGTAGTTTTGTATTTTAGATTATTTACTGCAGGAGAGGGGATGGAACTTAAAGGAAAAAACTGGGGCCTTAAAAGTTTTTTGATCCTGCCCAGACTTCCAAGAAAACCTACTCTAGACCTAGTTTTGGCACTGGGGGCTATAAATTCTTGTTTATACCCTCTCCCCCCATCCCTCCACAGCTGCAAACACTGGAAGTCCTAATTGGCTCAGAGGGGGCTGGCTCTATCTGCCTATCTGGGAAGTGACTGCCTGCGTATCTGCCAATAAAAAGTCCCTTTCCTACCTCACCACTTACTAACTTCTCTTACTTTCCCCATGGCCCCTCCTCTCCCTGAGCACTCCCAAAGTCTCCCCTAGCCTCCCATTTCTCCAGGGTCACCTACTTGTTGTACAGGACCACATCTGGGAGCCAGATGTGCTTGGCTGGGAGCCGGACTTTTTTCATGTTGTCAAACTCCTCAGGCTTCCAGGTGAGGCGATAATCCTCCCACTCCTGGGGAAGGGAGAGTGAGGCAGTATCAACCTGTGCCCTGAAGTGGCTTGAGGTCAAGGACAGGGACAAGAGGGACCACATCTGGCTTGAGGAAGGTTTTAAAAGCCAGCTTCTCCCCACGGTGACTTCTCTGCCCAGCAAATGTGGCTCATAAAATACTTCTCATTTAATTTGTACAGCTAATTGTTATTATAAGCCAAGACATTGTTGTTGTTATGTGCCGTCGAGTTGGAACCGACTCATAGCAACCCCTTATTAGGTTTCCGAGGCAGTATCACTACGGAAGTAGATTGCCTCATCTTCCTTCCCAGGAGTGGCTGGTGGGTTTGAACCGCCAGCCTTCTGGTTAGCAGTCAAGTGCTTTAGGCACTTTGCTACCAGAGCTCCTAAGCCAAGACATTAGAATCTATATTTTTACAAACGAGGAAGTGAGTTTTGGAGAGTTTAACATGTTCAGAGTCACAGAGCTGGCTAAGTCGCAGAACCAAGATTCAAATACATTTATTTAAGATTGCAAAAGGTATAGCTTTCTGCTCTCTTGAGGAGCTTGAAAGAGGGAAAAGCACATACAAGAAAGAAGGATTAGAAAGAGAAGACCAGGGGTGTGGGTGGGAGGAGCACTAACCTGGGTCAGCCAGACATTGGTGGTCATGATCTGCTCCCGCTCGTGCTATGAAGAAGGAGAGAAGCTGCTAAGCAGGCCCCTAGCTTGTGGACCCACTGCCCACTACGTCCCTCCCATATCTCCCCAAGCTCTGGAAACTCCAGAGGAGTCAGCACAAACATGCTCACATTCTGGCTATGCTGACTTCAGCAGGTGGGCAGAGTTTGAGACTCCCCACTCACCACACTGATGAGCTGGGCCAATGACACCATCAGCTGTACTGTCACCAGCTCAGAGCCATTGGTGGCTGGGCGGATGAGCTTGTTATAGCGAGAAGGGTCCAGGAGGTGCTCCACCAGCCGCTCCTCCGTATCTGTACCCCAGACTCCTAGGCAGAAGAGAGCAGGAGGTAAGCAAGGAGGCAGAAGATACTTCCGGGCTAAGAACCCCCTCCTTAAGAATTAGCAGAAACCTACTCTTTCCCTCTGGTAGCATAGTGCCTAAGGCACTTGACTGCTAACCAGAAGGCTGGCAGTTCAAACCCACCAGCCACTCCTCGGAAGGAAGATGAGGCAATCTACTTCCGAAGTGATACTGCCTCAGAAACCCAAGAAGGGCTCGCTATGAGTTGGGTCCGACTCAACGGCACATAACAACAACAACAACTCTTCCCCTAAAGACTCAAAGGGTGGATTGAACGGGCTTTGAGACTTCTGCTTCTGTGAAATCCCCAAGCAGATACCTATGATTAAAGGGAGGTTTTGGAGGGTCATGAAAGGGGGAATAGTTATTAGTGTCCCACCAAATACCCTTTCTCTTCAGTGAATCCATATGTGTGCAGGTAACATGTGCTACCATATGTGACTGTGGCCATGTTCCCCCCACCCCTAAAAAAGCATTGGGCTTAAGTAAACTATTTGGGTAGGCTGGGCTCCGGGTCGTATATCTATCCTGAATTGCACACATGCAGGAGCCCAGCCCCCATGAGACGGCACGTGTCAAAAGTCATTCAGGTGTACCTTCCCTTTGTACCTTCCCCTGTACACACTCTATCGCCTTCTGCAACTCTGCAGTCACACATACCCGCACCCCTCTGAACACTGCTTCCTAGCCATCAGCCTGGCAAACCTTTTTCTCTTTGACCTCCCTATCCCACCCTACAAAAGGGTTGAGAAGTCAGTATTCTCCCCTTCCCTTGTAAGGTGAACAGACTTGGAGGCTCAAAGTAGAGGGGAGGAAATGCTGGCAAGACAGAGGAGGGGTGCAGAACCAGGTAGATTTCTTGAGATAGTATTCCACAAGAAGCCAAATGGCATCTCAGCCGCGGTCAGAACCTGCCCTCCTGGCACTCCAGAAAGCCAAGGAAGCCCCTCTCCCTCCTTCCTCTCTCTGTCCACACCCGTCCCACCATCACTGCCTGGGTTTCCATCTCTCCCTTTTCATCACTAACTCCTTCCAATACCTTCTTCCCCTAAATTGAATCTCCTAGTGTCTAAGGCATTTGACTGCTAACAAGAAAGCTGGCAGTTCAAACCCACCAGCCACTCCTCAGAAGGAAGACTGGGCAATCTACTTCCATAGTGATACTGCCTGGGAAACCTAAGGAGGGGTCGCTATAAGTCAGATCCGACTCCACGGAAGTGAGTTTGGTTTTTTGGTTTAGGCGCTCCCTCCAGTCCCCTGGGGCCTCTCCTTTAACTCCCAACAGGCTCTTCTACCTCGGGGGATCCCTCCATCCCACCTTTCGGCCTGGTCGGGGTGAGACAGAACGCGGCGAATTTTAAGCCATTGGCTGGGGTAGAGGGAACTGGCCGGTGCCCGTCCTTACCTGGGCACATCCCGAGGAGGCCGAAGCTGAGGAGCAGCGCCATGGGGCCAGAGCGGCCGGCCATGCTGCGGGCATAGCTCGCCGCCTCGCGCAGACCTCTCGAGCGCGCCGTGGGCTGGAGGGCCGCAGGCGAAGCGCTGTCCGTGGTGCTGAAACCGCGCCCGCGCCACCAGCGCCTGGCTGGAGTTGGACCCAGGTTGGTGTTCGCGGCTTTTGGTGCTGCAGTGGCCGCCGCCCTGGCGAGTCCGGTGCCCAAAAAGCGGGCTGTGAGGAGCGACGAGCTTTTCGCTTATCCCAGTCTGAGCAGGCGGAGCGTTTTCCGGCTCCTTTTCTAGGGAATACGATTGGGACCGTGAGGGGGAGGAGTCTCCGCCCCGGAGGCGGAAGCGCCGGATCCCAGAAAAAAAAAAAAAAAAGGAGCCTCTAGGTGAGATGTCTTTTTCCTGGTCCTGCCCAGTTAGGGTTTGTGTGAGACAGAAGGACAGTGCACAGGATGGTGGAATTCTAAGGCCCGGTCTTCGGGGGAGGAACTGAAAGGGTTTTGAAGGGGCCGAAGATCGCCGGGAAGCAGCAGCGAGAGTGAGCAAATGGGTCAGGTCCACTGAGTACAGGGGCCAGAATGAGGGGCGGGAGTTTGGAGGGCCTTTTGGGATGTTTCCCACATACACACCCACACATCAAATTCAGTGATCCTGCTCCCGGAGTGTTGATGGTTGATGATGTAGCAGAGAAAATGCATTTTATACTCTTAGAAAATGAGAGAAGGGGCTGTGGGTTTGCTATTTTAAGAAAGCAAACAGCTTTGGAAGGTTGAAAGAGCGCCCCCTCACCTGTCCTCTTCTCTATTGTTGTTGTTGTTAAGCGCCTTCCAGTCGGATCCGACTCATAGCGACCACTCCTTGGGTTTTCGAGGAGGTATCACTACGGAAGTAGATTATCCAGCCTTCCTTCCAAGGAGTGGCTGGTGGGTTTGAACCTCCAGCCTTCTGGTTAGTAGCCAAGTGTCTTAGGCACTACGTTACCAGAGCTCCTCCTCTTCTCTATATATCTTTATAAATTCCTAAAAGGCCAAGCTTCCCGCCCCCCCAGGGGGTCTAAAGTAGGGAGATCTGGACTGTGCCTGAAAAGAAGGTAACCCTGAGGTTTTAATGAATGGGAACATAAGTGTTCTTTAGCAATTAGCAGTTCTCACCCCCATTCCCTTCCACTCCAGTCCTTGCCCTCTGTATGACTAGAGGGTTCAGAGAACCATTTCACAGAGTCCCTCTCCAGAATGAGGCTAACACAAAGGAGCAAAGCTGAGGAGGAGAGAGGTGTCAAAACTGGATTATATCTTTGATGGTTTAGCTACTGCACCAAGTCCTACTCCCCTTTTTATCTAAAGCAAGTTTGAATTGGGCTTTTGTCACTTTTAATCAAAAGACTGCCAGCTAAAATTGCCTTATCATACAGCAAGGCACTGTTTTGTCCCATCCATGTCTACTTCTCCAGCCTCACCTGAGCCACTCTAGTCCACCCTCCAGTCATTGGCAATGTCTTTAAATCCTTCAACATTCTTTTCCTCCCACCCTCCTCAACACCTACCGAAAAACCAGACTCACTGCCATCAAGTTGATTCTGACGTAATTACAGCAACCCCTGTTGGGTTTCCAAGGCAGTATATCTTTATGTAAGTAGATTGCCCAGTCTTCTTTACACGGAGTGGCTGGTGGGTTTGAACCTCCAGCCATCTGATTAGCAGTCAAATGCCTTAGCCACTATGCCACCAATGCTCCCTTCCCCAACACCTAAGGGCCTTTCAAACACTGAGTTTCTTTTGGCTCTCTAATCACCATTTTCTCCTAACTACCTTCTACTAACTTTGAGCATTTGGCAAAAATGTCAGTTCCTAGCCCAGGTCCTGACTCAGGACCAGGTGAGGTGCCTTGCTAGGTTTCCAGAGCATTCCCTCATCATGTTGTTGTTGTTGTTTGCTGTTGAGGCGGACCAGACTCATAGTGACCCCTCCTTGGGTTTCCGAGGCAGTATCACTACGGAAGTAGATTGCCCCATCTTCCTTCTGAGGAGTGGCTGGTGGATTTGAACCACCAGGCTTCTGGTTAGCAGTCAAGCGCTGTAGCCACTATGCTACCAGAGCTCCCACATCATAGTACTTATTTTATGTTTATCTCCCCTGCTAGAACCATAAGCATATTTGCTGCCTACTATATTCCCAGCATTGAGTGCAGTCCCTGGTTCAAAGTAAATGTAAAAATAGCACATCTGGGGCATCTGATCTTCTCTAACTTCACTAGGGAGAGAGAGAATCACCATTAGCATCAGCCCAAGGCTGACTGCTATGAAGACATACCTCCTCTCTCCAACCCTTTTTCCAACTCTGACACTGGCTGTCCCTCCCATGGCACTCTTTAACTTTGCTGGGTTCAGTAATTCATTGCAATGGCCACACAGAACTCACAGGCAGTACTCATGATTATAGAGTTTATTATGGAAGTAACAGGTTACAATTCAGGATGAGGAATGACTCAGAATACAATTCTTTGGTCAGGACAGCTTCTTGGCCATGCCCATGGGCAGGACTCTCTCTGGCCTTTGGCCTCTTGGCCCCTCAATCCCTTGGACCTCTTGGGCCAGCTCAGCCTCTGCCTTGCTCAAGCAAGTGTTACAAGCTATTTAGCTCCACCAGTAAATGCCCAGAGGCACCCCAGTCCACCAGTAAGCCTCAGCCTGAAGGCCCTGAGCGCTCTCCCTCCATGGTCAGTGAGCCTGAGTCTGTGAGCCTACTGTATGGATAAATGCCCAGAGCACCCCACTCTGCCAGCAAGCCTCCTTCCTGAAGGAGCTCAGCTTTCTGTCTCAGTGGATTGGCACACCTACTGTAACTTGCTTTGCTTCGTGGGCCAGGAAGCCCACTGCACCATCTCATGCCAGTCTCTTGTTTCTGCTGCTGCTTCTCACTGTCTTGCACCATCTCTAGTATTACAGTTCTCAGTCTGTCTCCTGGATCTAGGAGGTTCTCAGCATAGGGGTCCAAAGGATGTACTCTGCTGCTGTCTCTTCTTGGTGATGGTGAGGTACCACCTCTCTTTTATAAGCCTAGTGGGATGGCAAAAATGACCAGTCCCCTCATGTGGGTTCCATATACCTTATTTCCCACCCCCACAGGGTTCTGTACACCTTATTTGCATTCTTAGTAGGCTGTCCAATTCCCTTAGTGAGCCACAAACACCGTATCGGCATAGTGCTATCCAGTCATTTTATATGAGTCACAAAGACTATGTCTAGAAGGGGCATATTAAGTAGTTCACTGCACCCCAGGCCACCCTCTGGCTCTCCTAGCCAAGATTCTTACATATTTGGAGGATATCTTTCCCCATCCCAATCATTTTACTAGTCCAAAGCAGTCATTAAAAATTAACCCTTCAGTAGAGCAAGGAGTCCTCAGGATGAGGGTACTCAGGTACCAATCGTCCAGGTCTGCTGCAGATACCCATCTGATCTGGTCAGGTTCTCCAAAAATCAACTGGACTTCACCTTTTCTGGCCTCTGATAGAATTTAGCAGAGAGAAATTATTCCCTTGCCTTGAGCCTCACAAGGTATCAGCATAGCAACACCTTTAAGGGACTGTAGGTTGTCACTGTACTCCAGTCCAGTAGTGCCTTCCCATTAATCCACTCTTTCACAGTTTCAGCTTCCACAATTACCATTTTTATCATCACAGTTATTCCTGCTAACTACCAACACTCACAACTGAGTTATATAATCCTATCAGCATCTTTCCCCATCTTCCCTTCCCCAGACCCATCCGGAAAAGAGGAATCTATTTAGTGGTGTCTTAGTTCTCTAGTGCTGCTGGAACAGAAATATCACAAGTAGATGGCTTTAATAAACAACATTTATTCTTTCACAGTTAAAAAAAAAAAAAACTCACTGCCATCAAGTCAATTCTGACTCATAGTGACCCCTCCTTGGGTTTCCAAGGCGGTATCTGTACAGAAGTAGATTGCCCAGTCTTCCTTCTGAGGAGTGGCTGGTAGGTTTGAACCACCACCCTTCTGGTTAGCAGTCAAATGCCTTAGGCACTATGCTACCAGAGCTCTAGAAATCCAAGTTCAGAGTGCCAGGTCTAGGGGAAGACTAGAAGTCCAAGTTCAGTATGCTAGCTCCAGGGGAAGATTAGGCTAGAAGTCCGAGTTCAAAGTGCTGGCTCTAGGGGTTGAGTGGAGGGCCCTCAACCTTGGGCTCAGCTCTGTCTTCTAAGCCCACTGGAACAAGCTGGAGCCTTCTCCTGACTCATGCAGCTTCTGGTTGCTGATGAACTCAAGATCGGCAGGCGTAGAGCAGGCCGCTGGCTGCTGAGGCTGATGAATCCAACATCGGCAGGTAAGATGGCAGATGTTGGTTCACAGGCTGTGCAGGCGACAACCCCAAGATGAGCAGGCAACACAAGGGCCATGATTCAAGTCCAAGAACTAGATGTCAAATGAGCCAAATCTAGGACCCTTTCTATGTATACTAAGGAGCTCTGCTAGCATAGTGCATAAGGTATCTGACTGCTACCCAGAAGGTTGGTGGTTCAAATGCCCCAGCCACTCCATGGAAGCAAGACTGGGCAATCCACTTCCATAAGGATTTACCACTTTGGAAACCCAATGGGGATCATTATGAGTCAGAATCAACTGATAGCAGTGGATTGGTTTTTCAGTTTTTCTTCTTTATATACTGGAAGCAGACCACACCTTTAAGGCAACTCCCTTTCAACTGATTTACTGTTTACAGCAGCCTCCACCATGGAGGTGATTACACCACCTCCAGTCTCATCATGGGGAATAACTACTTCCAGCTGCCAAGCCACTCAGCCAAGTTGATATACAACCTTAACTACCACAAGCAGGGATCCTCTTTTGTCCTTCTCATTTCAAGTGTAAGGGTGTAAGCCAGCCACTTACTGCCTTTATCTTCCCCCATTTTAGACAGTCAGTGTTTAAATTGCCCATCCCTATCAAACCAGCACTCTGAGTAGACAAGCATTTTCACTGATCTGAAAAATCTTCTTTCCTGGTTGGAACTTTGAGCATCTGCATCCATAAGTCCAGTCCATAGCAAGCTATCACACTGCGGCAATTTATGCCAGCTTATGGTGTCAAACATCTCTCTC